CGTAAAATATATTTAAGAGTTTACGACCACTGTGCTGGGTGAGACGTTGTTGAAACAAAAAAAAAGTTATGCATTCCATCACGTACATAAGCAGTGTCGTAATTCGCCAAGTGCAAATCAGCAAATTCGTAAAATTTTTGTTTAGTTTGAACAATCCGGATAATCGAAAATCCGGATAATGGAGGTCCGGATAATGGAGGTTCTACTGTGGTTGTAACATTTAGAACATATTTTTGCAACACAAATTGCAATGTATTCAAAAGGCGGATTTATTTATTATTTTTAAAATTTATATTTAAAGAAACTTTTTTACTCTATTTCAAAAATAGTAAGAACTTTTATTGATCAAGTTTCCTTATTTATGACCATGCAAATTTAAAAAAAATTTTAATACATTTATACTGGAACTGCTTATTTATTCACAGGATATACAGGATGTTCAAAAACATGTATACACATTTTTGTTGTTAATAACTTCTATGTTTATTTAATTTATTTATATTTAATTATTATTAATTCAGTGATTTTTTTTTTACTTTTATAAATTTCATTTTATATTTTCAACATACGTGATATTTTATTAAAACAAAATACTAAATGTGTATCTGTATCATTTTGATATTAATTTAAAAATTCTTAATTTGAATTGTTTTACATTTACTTATTTTCTATGTTTTATCAGTTCATAAGAAATTACTCAGCTTACTTTTTAATAATCACACATATGATTATTAATGATGATATATTTTCTTATTGTCTCAAAATTTGATTGTATTGGTAAAAATTGAGAAAACAAAAATAAAAATATCAAATCTGGAAATTTCTCCCTGCCATAATGATGATAGCATAGCATTTTAAAAATTAATTATTTTTAATTTTAAATTCCATATTTTTAAAAATATTTATTAACAAGCAAATCAATTTTATTTAGAATGCTAGGCCAATCAGAAAATGAAGTGTTCATCTGAAACAGTAATTTAGAGCACAGATATAACATAATAATTCATAAAAGTTTGAATATTTACCATGCAACTTTTTTCTGAAATTCATAAAATTTTTATTGTTTGAACAGCTTGCTTATCTTTTTAAATCATATTAATTGTAGTGAAGATAGTTTGGAAAAATTAATTATTTTTTCATATATAATAAAAATATAAATTAGTGTTATAATTTAATTATTTAAGATGTTAATTGAATTTATTTCAATAATCTTTTAGAAAATATTGAGGTAAATACTATATTTTATAAAATTCATTATGGGAAGGAGAATTTTGGAATTGGATATTTTTTTATAAGTCATCTTCACTATAAAATGCTTAATGGAATTATCAAAAAGTTTATATCAAATATTAATTACAAACTTTATAATTTGCATTATGTTTATGATGAATAATATATTCAGTGAAATTTTACTGATTTATCTTCAATTTTCTGAAACTTCATAAAAGCTAACATTATTTTATAACATCATTTAATTCAAGATGATTTTAATATGAAGTTTTATAATTTCCTTAAAATTTGTCAAAGTAACAATACTTTCCTATAAGGCATCCTTAATTATTATATCCAAAATCAAAAATTGGAAATACAAATTACATTTTAGCAGATTGTTATTACAGTAGAGTCTCGAAAACTCGGCCTAATGTGGACCGAAGGGTGGCCGAGTTTGTGAAAATGCCGGGTTATCAGAAATGGGGTTAAAAAAATAAGTATGAGTGTTTCCTCAGAAAATACTGTACTGTACTTGTATGTATTGTTTACTTGAGAATACAACAGAGAATAAACTGCCCAAATACCCTTAAACAAAGGAAAAGTACGTCCTTTATGAAGGCATAGAGCCTTTACTACATGATAATGAAAATTAATGAATACACTGTGTACAGTAATTTACCTGATAAGACAGACCTCAGAAAAATACTTTGAGGCATAAAGCTGTCTATAATGAAAATTAATTAACTAAGGATTTTTTTGCCCTGTCAGGGTGTGGCCGAGTTATCCGGACTGCCGGGTTATCGAGTGCCGAGTTTTTGAGACTCTACTGTACTATGATTTGTTGTATATCTGGTTTTTTTCCAAAAATCATTGACATTTATTGTAATTAGTGAATAATCTGCAATGTAAACGATCTTATATTGTAGCATATCATCATTTATCAACTTTCTTGATGATATTGAATATAACAATACTCTTTATCTGCTAATGATTTTTGAATTATTCAAATTATTTAAATCAGCTCCAAATTTATAAGCTTAGCTCATTTAATAAGCTCATCTGAATAAGCTACTATGATTATAATATGTAAATCTTAACATTTTTAAAGAAACAACTAAATTCATTAACTAAGAAGTGGATATAACTTACATAAATTTTTCTTATAATCATGGATTAGTGATTCAACATGCCCTTTCCTGTAATCCATATTAATCAGAGAGTAATACAATCAACTTTTTCACCTTTATTCAGCAATGCGTTTTGGATTGATAGAAATTCAATCCCTTTTCAGGCTGCAAAAATTTTTAAAAAGGATATAAATATCTGTTAAAAAATTTAAAACTCTTAATCTTTACAAAAACAAAAAAACAAATCTTATAATGTATTAGTTCAATGGTTACTTTGCTATTTTATCTTGATCTCTGATTAATACAGATTATAGAAAAGGGCATGTTGAATCACTAGTTTACAATTAAAAGAAAAATTTACATAAATCTTAATATGTTAATAGTTCATTTGTGATCATTTANTTCTCGGAAATACGTAAATAGTCAACAAGATATTTCATAGTCATAACAGATAAACATTTTATTACTCGTAAAAGCGGGAGTCAACTACAGTATACTTATTTATTTAAATTATCTGTCAGTGGGGGATGCACAGGCGCAAGAGGCACGCGTATGAGGCCTCAAAATTCAGTTCTCAAAATAAAAGAAAACTATTTTATTTAATTATATATTTACAGTGATATTTAATACACCAAATTTACTTCATCTATATATGTATTTTTATAGTCATCATTCTCTTCTGGCAATCAATCTGTTAATGTATCAAAGAAAAGCAATACTTTCCAAAATCAGACAATTCAAACAACTACACGTTTAACGAACGGAGAAGAAAATGCCGTACCATCTCTATTGTATATTTCTCAACAAGATGCGGAAGTGAATGCGCCTATTCAGCCTTCGTATCTGTTACAGGGTGAAGAATTACTAAAGGCGTTGGACCAAACGATGAAAGACGTAACTGCCATTGTTTAAATTATGGTGCTTCGACAATAAACAAAAGAAAACTTGGTGTCGTGCTTCCACATTACATCTCTCGAAACAAACAGAAGCATCACGCACCACACTTTACAAAACTGCCAAATTTGTAAATGCCACAGAAATATTTGAGGACTTATCAGTGAATAATTATATATTTCTTTGTGGCCAAAGGGGGTTAAACAAAAAAATTTTGAAAGTCAGCATTTTTTTATGATGCTTTTTGATAGAGAGAAACTATATATTTCTGTAGACAAAAGTACAATAAGCAGTTGTAAAAATATCCATTGGAATGTTGAATGCATAAAAGAAAATAATAACAAAAAAATCAGTTAAATGTATTTACCTAAAAACTGTAATTATTAGAGACATGTACTTTTATTTTCTTCTAAAAATTGTAATATAATTAGCTAAGTATTAATTTTATTGTTTTTATAGTCAATCGAGGAGAAAATATTAAAAAGTACATTCTATCTGCTTCATAGTTTGACAAAAAAAGATCTGCTTTCATTGTTGTAAAATATTGATATTTAAAATTGTATGATGTGTAAATATCTAAGATTTCTCTCCTAACCAAATTGGAAATCACAGATCTGGGAAAGAATGGAATTTTTTTTGGCAAGAAATCATTCGTGAAAAACTTTACCAAAATATATTTTTTAAAAAAAGGATTGCTTAAAATTTTATTCTAAAAGAAATGAAGGAAACTATCACTAAACAATTTACAAAATAAATTCCAACCTAAGTGTCATAAAAAAGTGCCTGATCACAAAATAGTATTGCATTGTGATAAGTGTGGCAATATGCAGTATTATCTACATAATAGCAGAGTGGTGGTAAAGCAATAGGAAAAAAGTGCATCCTTTTCACTCAGGACTTGCTAGCTGCCTGATATCTTTTATGTAGTAAAATATATGACTGATATTCATGTTGTGATTGGAATTCAACATCAATCCATCCGCTGTGGTACCATTCAAATAAGAGAATGTTCATATGTCATTGCTTGTCTTCTTAATTTTTAAGATAATTTAACACTTTTTTTATTCTTATCAATTTTTTTACATAAAAAATTCATTAAAGTAATTTTTTGAAAATAACTAATTAAAACAACGACATATGGCCCATAGAACCATCATGTGCCTTTTTTATTGAAATGTTTTCATTTATACAGTCTGGCAAATTTAGAGAAATGTCTCTTAGCCTGGATTTATTGTTATCATATTGCATTTTTTTTCCTTTTTTTGTTATTTTAATGTGCGACATCTAATTTATCAATGGAAAATTGCAATGCTTTGCATGCTTATTATTAAAGCCAAGTTAGTTTTTGCTCAATGTAATATTTTATTATCATATATTAGCAAATTTTATTTAATAGTATATGATGTTAATGAGTCATTTTATGAAGCTTTGTAGTTTACTTCATTTACAAGATATGTGATATTCATTGATTTTTGCATAATTATTATATATTTTTTCTTTTATTATAAATATAACCCATAATGGGTTTGCTGTATAATAAGAGTCTGAAATATTGCAGACATTTTCTCTGTTAAATATACATTGTTATCTGGTCTTTGATTGAAAGTCAATCTCGAAATGACTTGTGTACTATATCGCATGTTTAAAATGATTACTGGATAACTATTGTGTATAAACGAGCTTTACGTAAAGAAAGAAAAACTTCAATTTTCATTATATGTCAATGTTTTGGATCATAAAATGTATTTAAAAGATAATACAAAACACTTGTTAATAATCATTTTGCAGTATAATTTGTTTAAAATTGTAATAAATGTAAAATTGTACGGAAAGAATCAATATTTTGTATCAATAACTTAGCCAGGAGAGATGTTATAAGATTGATTTTAATTCCATTGCCTTGAAATTGTTTTTATCATGTAAATATCAATTAAACTTATATATAAGTATATATGAATATATTCATACATTATGTATATTATTATTTTTTTTTTAAACTCAAAATTTGTAAAGATTTGATATAATTCGAAGCAATTATGGCTTTGTTCTATATGATCACAATACATAACCAAAGCTAAAATGTGGAAATGTGCCATTTCACTATTGTTAATTATGAAATACGTATTTTCTGTTTAAACACTAGTTAAAAATACAAATAGTTTATTACATTGTATTTTCAATGAGTTAATATTCTATATTATGATAGTTTTATTATGTAGATACAGGATCGAATATCTGTCTGTCAGAGCTATTATACAATAGTTTGTTGAACAAACATATATCTAAGCAGAAATTGCTGAAAAAATGTGGATAATATGGAGCATATCCAAATGTAAAATAACATTTATAGGGTTGTGCAAAGTGTGAAAGATGATGAAAGTACAAGAATTAGTGAAATTTATATTGTTGGCACTTCTAAATGCAAAGTATGCCATCTTTTTCCCTTCATGAACTTGATAATTTATGTATTATAAACATATTTTTTTTCTTTCATTTTTTTTAGTCATTAACATTAAATCATTCAAACATGGAAACTAACAGAAAATTAATTTTTTTTAATATTTTATGGAAGAAATTGAGAGAGTATCATGAAGAGAAAGTGTATTAACTATATCATAAGTGGTATATTGTATATGTAAATATTTATTTTCAATCAGAGTCCCAATATTTTACTAATTTGTTGATTGCATCACACGTTGATCTATCAGGAATGTATCATAAATTATGGGAGGAAAAACCCCAAAAAAAAATTGTGTTGGAAAGGTCATTAATTTGGTTACAGTCATGATACTCAGTTATTAAAATTCATCCTAGGATCACTTTTTTGGCTGTTCTTGTTACTAGATGGTTGGCATCATGTGTAGCAGATTATTTTAGTAAGAAATAAAATATCTATCCAATGATAATTTTTTGAATTTTTTTTTAGTTTAATTTTAATGTTTTAAAAATTTATATTTAGAAATTAAAAGCCAAAAGTGAACTTAAAAAAAGAAAATGTTAAATAACTACAAAAATATTTTGTTTCATCCAAATATATAACATTAATTAATTTAAATTTTTAAAAATAATACAGAAAATAGCAAAATAAAATATTAAAATTATGGATAATATGCAAGAGAGATTTTATTTATAAATTAGACAAAGATTTTGGCTAATTTTTCAGTTTGAAATGGAAAATTAAGCAATGTTTATATTGCAATATGCTGAACTTGAAATTAAAATCTTGAGTTCATAGTTTTATGAACCTCTAACATGGTTCAAGATACTAGAGATACCATAATCATTTGATTTAGTGAACATTAGCTTCATTGAATTAAAGATTATTTTTGATGATTGAATTCAATACTTACCATCAATTGGGACTCAATTAATTGTACTGTACAGTACATAACCATTGAATAAACTTACAATTAATATTAGATGCTTTATCTTTATACATAATCATTTGTTATTAATTAAAACTTTTGCAAGATGTTTGGAATTTGTTACAGAACTAATTTCACAACCTTTTTTATATAAAAGAATTCACAGTTATCAAGAACATTCACAAATCTAAATATAACTATGTATATTGAATGTTGCCTGTCAAAAATTTCATTAGAGAAAAAATGAAAAAAGAACATACAAAACATTTAATAAAAATTTATTGAAGTCTAAAGTACAAATTAAAAACTTGGAGCAATTATTTATTGTGTGACATTGCCACAATGCCTGGCTGCAATTTTTTGTCATATTTTTATTTAATTTAAAATATATGCTCTCCACCTCATTTTAGTAGTGGCTTGGCCTGTATGTCAAACTTTTCTTGTTAGATGATCGGCACGACTCCATTGCTATAAACTCCTTTTAAAAAAAAATTTTCGAGTTGAAACAGTGTGGCTTCCGGTTTGCATCAGAAGTTCCTAGTTAATAGGGGCCTCCTGCCCATATCTGGTTTCGTCTTCACCTATCTAACTCCGTTTTCGAGATTAATTAAGGAAAGACGACTGGAAATTTCAAATTGAACCCAACAAATCCAAAATATAAATATACAGTGTTTCTGTACGAAATAAAGAATATTCTTTTAACAAAATTTTATTAATTATAGTATTTTGCATTGGTTCCGATGAAACTTCTCATCGTCATCTTTGGAATACATGGCTCCAGTTCGAAAACTTCTCATAATTACGATGTTTCGTGAGAACAGATAAGTACAAGTGATTGCTTGGATGTATTTCTTGCGTAGGTTGTCCATAGCCGTGGCACCGGGGGGGAGCAGTCAAGTGGCTAAGCCCATTATATAGGCTACTGTTATACAGTAGCCTGTATAACAGGCATGAGCAAATGCGGCTCTTGCTGAAAGTGTTAATTTCTGCTTTNGTTTACTAGGAAACAGTCATATCGTTTTTATACTTTTCCTGTTTGGACTGCAATTTGAAAAAATTGTAGCCCTACAAATTCCCACTGTCGTCCGTCTGTCTTAATCGCGGTACAGAATAATAAGGTACAGAACTGCGGCTCCCATGCATTTTGCAAAACTACATTTCGGCTCCTACTGAACTCTTTCTTGCCCACCCCTGCTATATAATATATGCTTCCGCTTTCGTTACGTAAACTTGGACTATTGTTACGTTTTTTACATTTGGAATGTAGGTAATAGACCTACTGATGGCTAGAAAAGAGAAAATTACCAGTCAAAATGTTTTCGGCCTGCTCCTCTAGCTCCTCAATGATCGTTGGCCGGATGGCCGAGCGAAAATTTACTCCTAAAATCTGAAAAAAAAAATGGCAGCCTACCGCTCTGGGGGACCCAGGATCGAATCCGGACTGGTCGAAAAATCTCCAGGATTTTTTCGGGGGGTGGTTCGACCGGATATGTCGTCTCCCGTCCCTCACCACCCGACCGCCCCATTGTGGGCTTGCTAAATGAGGCCCTCTTACTGCCCACAGGGCGGAAAGAGTTATTAAAAAACAAACTAAATATTCGTCATATGCACTGAGGCATTTGTCCCAACGCTATGGAAGTGAAATCTTGTGTAAAGGTTCTTCACCAGGTACTGGTACAATATACTGTATATAAAAAAAAGAATCACAATAAACCTTTAATTGACCAGTAAAATATTTATTTGAAAAAACAAACGTTTTCGACCGTATTCTTCGGCCTTCTTCAGGTTACACGTTTCGAGATTCTAAAAGCCGTTGTGCTTAAAGATTTAAAAGTTTTGGAATAAACTCAACTTGTTTGGAAGTGAAATCCGTATTATATGATAAGTGGTCCAAAACCTCCCAGCCGTGCTGGAGCAGAATCTGTGAAGCGTAAAAGGTCTTGGTGGGAAAGGTTTTTCTGCTGGAAAAATAACCTTCCTTCTGCCAAGCCTTCTTGCACAGATTTCGACTTTCACTCGGAATTAACCTTTCACCAGGCTACGACTTAATCAACTGGACTTGACTTTTCATCCCAATTTACGAACGGATACTTCGAAAACATTTGAGATTCGTTCTTCCATTTCGGTTAAAGTGCATTGAACAACGACAGTGACATCACGTCTACCGTGGCCAAAGTGACAATGAAACATTAAGTAGTGTTCTTGTGTTTAATTAACAAAAGACTGTGCGTGTTACGCTATTGTTTAAACGACTATAACTGGCCAAAGCAACGTATAATATTTCGACCGGTGTTCTACTAGTAAAACATTTCACCACAGAATAATGCACTACAGTACGAGAGGATACCATTTCCAAGTTGAACCGAAAACACACATTGCAGTCGATATATGTCCAAAGCAAAATTATAATTATTTCAACAGTTAAAACTGTGCATGGAATTTTCACGATTTTATATAAATCTTTATCTACTGTATAAAGCTGAAAAACTGGTTCTGTCACGGTATGCCAAAAATGGCCACTAGGGAGCGTCCCGGGCTACTAGAATAGAAGGATTAAACATCAAATGGACAACGAATGGTATAATTTTCTCAGCCATACAGACTATCAATGGCTCATCATCGGCCGTCACATCCCCGCCATGGACTATACGGACCGATACACTACTATCCTGATTCATCGTGCCAGAACTAATTCCCTCATCACTAATTCCTTCCTCCATAAACGTAACCTGGAAAATGCTGATCCTACACTTTCTGCCCGACAGAGCAAGATACAACTATACATCGGTTGGATAACTGCTATCAATTTGAACCCGTCCGGAAAAAAATTCTAAACAATAACAGTATCATTCATCACAAAATCTTTAAGATAAGCGATTGTCTTAAATTTACGCCCATCGAGATTTGTATACAAAGTATGATCACCTTTTTCACCGTTTACAAGCAGACCTATAAATACTGAGGAAAATATTACTACCGCCATCTCTCACCACCACGGGGCGCAATAGTCTGTGTAACTGAAGCCCAACGACAATGATAAGACAAGACAATGATTAGAAGTGCGAAATAATCTAATAATCTTAATCTTTGTTGTTTTTTGCCCGGGCAACGTCGGGCTCATCTGCTGGTATTTAATAAAACTTATTAAATTTCATAATAACTGTTTAAAGATTCTATATTGACGTTGCGCATTTTTAGATTAATTTATAATTAATAATGTTTCTGGCAGTTATGACGGATGACGAAAAAAGAAAAAAATGTACACGATTCTATTAAATTTTATACATTTATACATATTTAATGTTAATTCTTGTCAATATTTAAACTGAATTTTGTTTGTTACAATACATTTTATTATATAAATCTATTATACTCAGAGCAGTAGCACGGGACAAATGCAAAGACGTTGTTGCTAAAGCCTTGCATAAATGATTGACAGGCGTGAGTGCTCCTTACGCCTCACGAACATTTATATGCCGTGGACTAAAAATCTAACGTATTGCTTAGGACACCAAAAACATTTCCACGGCTCTGATTATGCCATATCTATATATACACGTATATCGTCATTGAAACATTTTTCAAACAATTCTCTATCAACAACTAAATGTTTACTAGGAAACAGTCATATCGTTTTTATACTTTTCCTGTTTGGACTGCAATTTGAAAAAATTGTAGCCCTACAAATTCCCACTGTCGTCCGTCTGTCTTAATCGCGAGAACAGAGTTAGATAGATGAATGCCGAAACCAGATATGGAAAGATTAGGGTTGGAGGTCTCAATTAACTAAATACAAACTTCTGGTTCAAATCGAAAGTCACGTTATTTCGATTCAAAAATGTTCCCCTGAAAGGAGTTAGATAATGACCTGCACGACTCTATTGCTTTCAGAAAAGAATGATGTACAGGGGCAAGACATTACTAATTTGAGGCGAGAGCATATATTTTATTTACATATAAAATTCTTATATGCACTAAGAAAGTATTGGAATGCATTATAGATTTGGCAAGACCATGAGCATGTAAACGGTGATAAATGCACACACACACACAACTCTTTTATTCACGTAATGCCAAAGTATTACATGTCTGGCACCGCTTTGCATAGCCAGTTAACATATAAAAACATTGAATAATTGAAATTACAATTACACATATTATTTTTGCGGTGACAAATGCAGTGTGACATATTTGGACCATACTACTCATTAACATGAACTAACCTTTTGTTCGTTATGTTGTAAGTGAAAATCTTAGACACCGAAGCCGTGAAACCGTTGGAAAATTATCAATCCGAAATGCATTGTTAAATAGGCGAAATAAAGTGAACTCTTATAAACTCGGTCTCCGGATAATCAAGAAAGACGTGATAAATACCACTAGTCTTACTATTGGAAGAAAAACCTTACTTATAACGTTTTATATTTTTAATTATTATTGAAGGGCAAAAAGCTTAATTTTGAGTATAGTGATGAGTTTAAAAAAAATTGTAAATGTTAATAACGAATAACATTTTTATTAAGTCCGACATCTCTCGAGAT